ATTAAATATTTAGAGTAGGTATTTTGGAGGGGTATTGTAACTTTTTCACCTATTATAGGAGCGGCAAATTTTTGGTGCCTATAGCCGTAAAAAAGATAAATCCGCCTCTGCTGACACTAATGTAGTAATGTTGTATATTGCAATTTGATTTTGCTTGATAGATAGCACCAATGTTGTATTCTTACAACTCCTTATTCTCCCCTTTAGATGTCGAATTTTCAAAAAACTTTTAATAGTGCGCCCCTACATTGCTTAAAGAATCTCTGTACAAAATTTCAAGTCTATACCCAGCGGTTTGTTCTGAAAGTTGATTATCAAAAAGTACACTTTCCTGGGGGGGTGGGGTGTTAATATAAGAAATTAATTTCGGGGGGAGATTAACCCCAAACACTCCCTCTAAATAAGCCACTGTTGTATACCAATGATCCTGCAGTTTTGTGGATATATATTGAAATAATTATTTACATTATTGCCGGACCCTAGTCTATGGGTCCTAATGAGCTCCCTTTGCGAGGGTCCTGCACACATCTAAATATAGGTACTAAGGTACCTATCTACCTATTAATTATTATTTGATCAGCAATGTAAAATTAAAATTAAATTATAGTATTTTGAGTATTTATTTTAGTTAAAGAAAATTTAATTTATTGAAAATATAATTGGGACCCAGGCTTAGCATACATTTTCATATGGCTGGCATATGTTTTTGACAACTTTCCAATATTCSATTAAGTTTTAAATACTGAGGGAATCATCCAATGACAGCCGGCAGGCAATGTTAGAAACATATGTTATAATRTGACAGCCTGGACTCAGCCTTATCAAACTTCATATTTATTACGATACTATACAAATATTTTGCATTTTATTCTTCTCAAATAAATAAAAATGTTAAAACTTTAATTTTAGGGAATAATACAAAGAGATGAAATGGTGTTCAAATTAGCTCAACAAAATAATGTTCCTTTAGTTATGTTGACATCCGGTGGTTATCATAGATCAACTGCGAACATCATAGCAGCTTCATTGCAGAATCTAGTACAAAAAGGGCTAGTTAAACCATCCTAAGTGGAATAATACAAATTTATAAGCGTAAAATATAAGTTCTATCTAYTGTTATTATTCTAATAAATAATAAAAGGCGTCCTGATATGTGTAGTACAATAAGAAGAATGCTGCTTATTATTGCTCTGTATCTTTCATAGAAAAATATTAAAGAATACACCTATATAGGCACCTACAGTTATAATAAACTAATAACAAATGAAAAGTAATAATAATATAAGCACGTTGCACATTGAATACATTGGACTCCGTTGCTCCAAGATCCAATTCCAATAGTTAATTAATAGCAAATATTTTTTTTAAACAATACTAAATAATAATTTTAATTTAATTGGGTACCTTAAGATATTATTTAACATAACAATTTTTTATAGTTTGGATATTTTTATTTTAATAACAAATAAAACGTTAATTTAAGATCCCGAGCTGAGAATCTATTGGTTTCATAATGATCTGTGTGTTTTTCGTTGTTTACATACTAAAAATTATACTTTACCTATACGAGTAAATTTAATAAATAATAAATTAAAAACAACATTTTTGTAGCATTTTTTAGATTTTTGCACTACTCGACGTTTATTTATACGAATATGTACCATAATATAGGTATATTGTATAAATATTTTTTTCAAGTTCACATTGCCTACCCATATAAATTCCCRGGGCAATATAATGTAAATAATGTAATGTTTAGAATTAGATTAATAGATTTATCTAAAAATAGCCATTTAAATAGGTATTATAAATACCTATGTCCGGTTTCTCATATCACCTATTATAACATGTAATGATAAGAAAATAATTTAATTTTCCATATGATCCATTGGCCCCATTAAATTGATGGTAGTTTATATTTAGTTAATAAATATTGTAATTAATTAATTTTATTGTTTATCGGTGTACAAACAATTTAAATATTAAATACAACAATATAATAATCTTTTAAAAWCCKTATTGTATGGACTCAATAGTTAGTTTTTAATTAGATAACATATTGTTTGGTTTTGAAATTTTATTTGCCCCATTTGGAAAAAAATCAAATAACATATTACATTTTTTGGTATTCGTGTATTAATATGACTACAAAAAATACACTAATTGACCTCAAATATTATTTTTCACTAAAGAGTTAAGACTGAATAAAATAAAATTCTGTTTCCTCATTACTTTTTTTCCCCTCATTACCTAAATATATTTTCTGTTATATTTTTTCGATGGCTCACCTAATCACTYRTATGCATTACGTAAGTTAATAGGTACACTTATTTTTTTTAATCTTCCTGTCAAAACATTTAACATCATACTATAGCTGTCCATCATAATCTATTTGTATGTAACTTGTTTTGAAACATAGGTTAGGTATATAGTATATAATATATATGGATATAATAGAATTTAAGGACGATATATTGACTAGATATTATAGCAAATATTAAAATAAATGTACAGGGTAATTCACCAAGCATACACATTACACACCACTTTTTTCAATAATTAGTTATTAAATTATTAATATAAAAATTAATATTAATTAAATAGTTATTTAAAATCTGATTTTTTTAATTTTTAAATATACTTAATAAATACCATATTTTCCAATTCTTGGAATTGTTTGTACTAATTAAGGAGAGTCCTGTGGAGATATAAGCATAAGCTTTTTTTTTTCAAATGAGAATCTCCCTTTTCAACTTTAAATTATTTCATAGATAATTTTTCTAAAGAACTGAATGTAACAAAATCAAAATTCGTACGATTAGTTTTTGAGTTATTTAACTTAATGTACTATGAATACAAGATTTRCAATAATAGGTTTATATAAAATATTGGGGATATGGTGAATTTAAAAACTTTGTCACTAATGTTACTCTATCAAGATTAATATTTTTTATAAATGTCCCAAAGATAATAAATACTAATTCTAATATTGCATCTATTTTATAATTTTTTTAAACCATTTTTAAGGACTATTATTCGTACTTCATACTCAGTTCGTAGTACGAACATTTAAATAACTAAGGAACTAATCATTTGAATTTTAAATTAGGTACATCAAAATATTCAAAAACAATCGTCCACTAAATAAATTATTGAAGAAAATGGGGTTATCGTTTGAAAAACAGAAGTTTGTAAGTTTGTATCACTATACAGACACCCCTTGAGTAATAGGTACGAAAAAGTTGTCGAGTACCTATATATTTAAAATTTCCAAAAATATAAGAATATGAATAAATTTATTTTGAAAGGAAAAAATGGGGTTATCATGCTAGGTGAATTACCCTGTATATTAAATAGTTACGTAAATTGTATTAGTTTAGTAAAATATTATATTGTATACATATAATCATTATTCTATATTATATACAATTTTGTCATCGGTACTTATTAGTTATTTTTRTTTATTTTTACCTATTTATCAATTTAAATACCATTTGAGCTAAGAGTTAATTACGTTGTTATTGTAATATTGTTTTTATTAATATGTAATTTATGTCATACAGTGGCGTAACTAACAGCAAATGTTTGGGGTAGCGAACACTTTTAAATACTTCACCTTCTCCAATAAGCATAATGAGTGATGAGTACCAATTATACGCATAATTTCCTCCTAAATTATTTTAAAATAATCATTATACTTATATTATAATATTATACTTATCATTATACAGTTTTATAACACGAAAATGCCGGTAAAACACGATTGCGTACGATTTTTATCTGCAGCTTTGAAGCACTGTTGCCATTTGCTTTGAACTTATAGAACAGGGGTTACTTCCATAATTTTTTTTTTTTATTATTATTGAATAACTATTTTTTATCATATTATTTTAACATTTTATTATTTTATTTTGTATACTATATTATAACATAGGTATATATCGAAAATTGGGATTTTTAAATGGTACCATAACTTAAGTCATTTTTCCAAAATTTAAATTTTGCTGATCAAAAATAAAAATATAAATTTGGCAATCGTACGCAATCGTGTGGTACCCCGAAAATTCACAAATAACGTATTTTTTTCTTGAWAACTATTTAAAGATAAATAAATAGTAAATACACACTGACGCGGATTTTTTTTACTAAATTATATAAATAATTTTGGGGTAACAAAATGATACTCTTGCCACCCCATAAAAATGTTTGGGGTCACGACCGCTACCCCATAGTTACGCCACTGATGTCATATGTGTAATACACATAAATTGTAAACTGTATGTGTAAATACCTAGGAAGTACACAGTTTTTTAACAGTTGTTACCTACATGTTATACTCCATTGAAATGTATTAATTTTTATTTTAAAATAAATTTTATGCTAGGTCATTAAAATAAAAATAAAAATGGTTACATTTAATGGACCCAATCATGGTCACCAAATCATACATGAGGACCACTAAGCTCACTTTTGTTTCATTAATTAGTTTCAAGTGATTGTTTATAGCACCCAACATTAATATTATACCTAGAGTAGGTAATCAGAGACATCGAGTTATCAATATAAAGTTGGCACTTGACAATATTATTCCTTTTAGATTTAATTCAATATAAATTAAATTTGTGTTGACTTAAAATAAAATAAACTAATAACTTATTAACTTACTAGTTACTATTATATGCGGAGAACCTATTTCTATTAAATAAATAAAAAGTTAATTAAATTAACGCATACGACGTACTGATAATTTACGTTTGAATTAATAACTATAGGATGGATTTTAATGTACTAAAAAACTTAAATATTACTTATGCAGTCATGCTTTATAAAATATACCCAAAAAAACCTCGTTTTACGTCTATACAACATCAAAATATGTACTAAAATATCAAATCTGTAAAAAGCATAAAACATTTTTGTACTTAATATCAAAATAATTAAATTTTAATTGACAAATAGGAGTATAAATTAAAGATAAAATAATTATAAATTGTATAAAATAAATTCTTCTATTGTTAATTTAAACTATAAAAAATTATATCACCCATATTAAACTATTGAAGTATTTTGTTTTATTAGTTAAGTTATGTGAAATGTATTTGATTTCACTTAATGTGTATAATTTCCATGTTAAACTTCACAAAAAAAAAAATAAGCTGAGTTAAATTATATCTATATTAATTATATCTAATATATCAAAATTATATTTTAGAGTATAAAATACTTCAAAATTTGGAAATATACACAAGATAAAAATATAATTTTYGTATTTTAAAATTTACAAAATACCCTACTGCCCTACTTTTAATGCAATAGGGAAACAATACGCAAATTCATAAACTTCCACTCGATTTTCACTGCAGTCTGCAATCGTTATGAATAGCATTTACTAGAGGGGAGATATAAACGATATTTGTAAATGATAGGTACATGGCAGTGCACTAAACAAAAAAAAACAATTTTAAGCTTTGCTTCTATTATTACATAAAAAAAATAAGATGGATACTTTCGAAGTTCATTATATTCATTGGTGGCACAGCTCTTATTACTGTATACACTGTATATATTATTGTATTTTATTTAGAGACGAACTGTTTTACGTTTTATTATACATGAGAATTTTCGTTCTAATATCAAATTGGTTCTTAATAACCGATCGTAGTAGGTATGTAATTTATGTAACGTGTACTTACTATATTTTCTAGTTCTCTAATCAGTCTACTGAATCGATGAGTCGATCGTGAAAAAAAGTAGATAATATGTTATAGTAAACGATACAAATAAAAATCTAGATTATTAATCATTTGTCTACGGTTTCAATAATTCTCTATTGTTCCGGAAGGCTTTCTCTATTAACTCGTTACTATTCAACAACCGTCCCTAATCAGCCTAACCGTAGCCTCGTCCAGAGCGACCTTAGTACCTTACGAACTACGAAGGAAGAAGTTGAAATATTATATTAATCACTATTTAGTATTTACTGGTGAATATGTGTGAGTGAGTGCCGAGTGTGTAGTGTGTGTGAATTTGTTGTGCCACGTGATGTGGTGGACATGCATTGACATTGCAATGGTATATTGACTGTTGTCTGATGAGTGTCGACCAGACTATAAATTAGTTTTTGATACAACCGACGACATCATTACCGAGACGACTGTCAGTGRAACACAATAAAATTATATAACTCTCARTATTATACTTTGAGCCGTTTAATATTATTACAAAAACATCTAGATGTTATTACTATGATGCTGTATAAAATATTTTCTTTTTTAGTATTGATGATTTTGAGCTCGACGACAACTCTAGGTAATCCATTTTGGTATAATATTTAAATTAGTTGTTCAAAATACAATACTTACAAGCCTAGTTGCAGTTTGTGTGACTACCTAATTGTTGTTTGATCGYAGATTCTGCGAAAGTCGTTTGCTACTTCAGCAATTGGGCTATTTATCGACCGGGCATTGGAAAATATACCATAGACGACATACCAGTCAAAGATTGCACCCATGTTATTTATTCTTTTGTTGGAGTAGACAACAAGACTTGGGGTATAAGTGTTCTCGATCCTGAAGTAACTAAAAACATTTTTTTTTTTTTTATTTGACCATTAATTATACCTTTATATTAAATTACATATTATGCATTTATATTATAAATATACTTATTACTTGTATGTGTATGTTAATTGATTTTAGATCGATGTAAATAGAAATGGTTTCAAGAATTTCACGGATCTTCGAGTATTGAACCCAGATGTTAAGTTCATGGTAGCTCTAGGTGGTTGGGCAGAGGGGGGTAAGAAATATTCTACATTGGTGTCTTCTCCAGATAAAAGAGCGACATTTATCAAAAGTGTAATCGGTTGGTCAATTAAAAAATTATAAATATTCTTATAAATTATAAAATATATATTTATATGCTTTTAGAATTTCTAAAGACATACGGATTTGATGGCTTCGATCTCGATTGGGAATATCCCGGCGCAGTTGATCGAGATGGAGCTTATTCAGATCGCAATAATTTTTATTATTTTGTACAAGAACTAAAAGCTGAATTTGAAAATCAAAATACTTCATGGCAATTAACTATGGCAGTGCCATTAGCAAAATTCCGATTAATGGAAGGTTATTACGTTCCAGGTCTATGTCGGTAAGCTATTATTTATATACAATAAGCAGTTATTATTACTTATTAGTTTATAGTTATAATTYCATATTTATATATTAATTATAATGGAGCACTGGTTATTATTATTATTATTATTATTATGCATAATTATACGTATTTGAAATTAATGAATATAAAAAATAGCAACAACAAAATATATATAAATCTTTATTGTAATAATGAATTTAATAATTTAGAATGTGCAAACAATTATTTGGTATTGTATCCATGTTGGAATATGAGAGTTATAAAATATTATATAGTTGTGTATTTCTGTGTTTCTAATAGTTTAACCGATGCTGTACACGTAATGGCTTACGATTTACGAGGAAATTGGGCTGGGTTTGCGGATGTTCATAGTCCATTGTTTAAAAGACCTTCTGATCAATACGCGTATGAAAAACTAAATGTTGTGCGTAACCAAAAATTAAATTTAAAATTTATATCGTACTATAAGTCTTAGTGTTATGAATTTTATGACTTACAGGCCGATGGAATGCAATTGTGGGTGGATCTTGGTTGTCCACCAAATAAATTAGTTATGGGTGTGCCGTTCTATGGCCGATCGTTTACATTGAGTGCTAGTAATAAAAATTACAATATTGGCACATACATTAACAAAGAAGCAGGAGGTGGTGAAGCTGGAAATTACACACAGGCTGTAGGATTTTTGGCTTATTATGAGATATGTAAATATTTACAAGACGAAGACAATGGTTGGACCCAAATGTGGGATCCTATTGGCTTGTGTCCGTATACATATAAAGGTGTTATAATTATATAATATTATAAGATGCATTTAAAAATTATTTTTAATATACTTATAAATAAAATCATAATTTGTATTATGTACGTGATAAAAAAAAATAGGTACACAATGGATTGGTTATGATAATGTCACAAGTTTATCAGAAAAAATGAAACATCTCAAAAACAAGGGCTACGGTGGTGTAATGACTTGGGCTGTAGATATGGATGATTTTAATGGCATTTGTGGCCCCAAAAATCCTCTCATTCGAGTTTTACGAGACGCCATGGAAACATACACACCTCCAAATATACAGATAATTACTACTCCTACGGTATGAAAACTGGAATGACTGTATTATTATTATTATCATTTATATTCTAAATACCGTATTTGCTATTCCATTAGCCCGAGTGGTTAGTACCCCCAGAAAAAACTACTCAAAATAAGTTAGTCGCTACTGAACAAGAATCTTCGACTGTATCAGTTAAAGAAACTACAATTATATCAGTTAAAGAACCAAATAAAGTAAAAATATATGGTCACAAAACAACAGGATGCAAAGAAGGAGAGTATTCGCCAAGTAAATACTGTCATAAAGTAAGTTACATTCTAAAAATAATACATAGATTTTAATTAGTTACTATAATAAATATACATATATATTTCAATATACTTTTAAAATACTAAATAAACCCAAAATACTTTTAATAGAGTTTRAACATTATTTTATTCATTACAATGCTATTCGTTAATTTTTATTGGGAGATAATAACGGTGTCCCTACATAATGCAACATTTATTTTTAAAATTTCAGTTAATTATGGATAGCTATAACTAAAATAGTAACATTATGTAAGAGAATTGTTACCTATAATCGTTTTTTATTCAGTAAATAAACTAAAATACTAACTATTTCTCAAAAAAAACTAAAAAACTATGAATACCCACATACCCATTAAATATTTATTTTGTTATAATAATGAAACTACTAACCATTAGACATAAATTTGAATCACATTCCCGTTGTAAATATGATTAGACTATAGTAACTAGGTGATTAATGTTTATAATATTAAGTGCATAATTTTATATTGTTGCCAATTTGAACAGTTGGTTCATCACCTCACCAGATGATCCACTAAATAATATACGTACATTTATTATTACTATGTTCATGCACGATTCATTACGGTCTACGAACAACTTGCTAATGCTATGTGTTTAGAACATTGGTGTAAATATGTATAGTGTAATCATGAAACAACTGTAGCTAATTAGTTTATTTTCAGAATAATTTATAATATTTAAACTTTGTACCTAAAAAAGAAACCATTACCAAAGAATAATGACGAGCAGATTGTCCAAAATAAGTACCAAATTTTTTTAAACTCTTTTTAATACAATTATTTCTGTTCAATGTTTTTCTCGTCGTTACATATTGTATTGAACCGGACACCGGTTTTACWGGCCTACTCGAAGCAGATTCTATTTAAAATAACAGACAATTATAATATAATTTTTAAGTGTATAAACATACTTATAATTTTTACTTTTGAAAGATGTTTTAGCCTTATAATTGAAAATATTTTAAGCAACTCAAACAATGATGAATTATAGTTGAGARAAAGAGTTAATACGGAAATTAGTCAACTATTGTTTTAGAGTATAATATGGTATCTATTCTATACCAATATACTATATTGTGTGCAATAGCGCAATATTATAATTATTGTTCRAACTCCGTCTGAATTTGTTTTCGATTATCATTTAAATGTTTTATTACCAATGGTCCACGTATAATATTAACATAATTTTAATTCGATACTTATTTAAGAGGAAGTCAGCGCAATATTTATTTTTTTCTCTCAGACTCAAGCGCACATAGATAAAATACTTTCACTTAAAATTGTTATAAAGATTTTTGAGTAACCTTAAAGTAAAAACAACTATTACAAAAATTTTAAAGGATAATATTTTTGAAAGTTTGAGACATATTGGTTTTATATTTTATTTTAAAAATCTAGAAAATGTTTATAAACTCAAATGATGTTTAAATTGTTTTGAAACAAGTTGACATGTCATTCTCTCAAAAATATTGTTCTTTATCGATTCTACAATAGATGATTTTACTCTAAGATTATTCAAAAACTTAAAATACTGATACTGCATGATGCGTAAAGAGTTGTCTATGTTGCGTGTGGACCAGACTACCAGAGAAAGAAAACAAACAGTGCGCTAACATCTTCTTAATGAAAAACTAATCCATTTTATTTATACATACCATTTACAATAGGTATTAATATACCTGCACTTTTAATTGTTAAATTCATTACTCTGATGCGATAGTAAGTTTGTTATAATGCAATATGCTATATGTATAAACAAATACGTATACAATATACATGTATATTGAATATAAATTATTATATTTAATAGCTTGACTAAGTAGTAGTATATCATACATTATAGTTGTTGCGAATTTTGAAAGGTCATGAAATCAGAGTAAAAATCTAGCTTTTGGATTGAATTAACAAAATATTTTATTCTCGACTGTAACTATATGTATATAATACAATTAGGTATATTGTATATATTTATTGTACTAGGTAAACTATAATATCTGAAAAATGCTTATGTATTTATTTTTAGTATTTCATGTGCGATCATGGGAAATGGATGCCTTTCCTTTGTCAACCCGGTACTGTTTGGAATCAAGAAGAATTGGTGTGTGATTGGCCTTCCCGAACTGCCCAGTCAGATTGTATAAAAGTTTAATTAATAAAATATAACATTCGGATATAGATATACAAGAAAATTACATGTTAACAACAATTTAACAATAGTAAATTTGCATTAAAAGGAAGTTACATTGTCTACAGTAACACGTGTTTTACTTTTGTCACCTCTATATACTTCCCGTCTTATATTATAACTAACTCCGTAAAACGTATACTCGTATTAGTTGAATAGTAACTACAGACCATGAAAGGATTAATATYGTTCACCCTTTTTTCGCTGGTCTCTGCAGCGTGGACTGCAGGCCTCGAATCGATTCCTTTTGGATTTTACGATGAGCTCAAGAACAGCGAGCACGATCAATGTAGCGTGGACGTGAAAAATATGTTGGACGGAGTGAAAAATCTAGACAAATGGGCATTGGAAAGTTAGTTTTTATTTTAATACGTTGGTTTTAAACCTATGATAATTCTGATTTATACCGCCAGTCGATTACTTATTACTGAAAAATTTCAGTGATTGATTCATCAGCCAAGATACCATCAGGAATATTAAGAGGTAATTTGAATCAGTATGGCGATTTTGACGAGTGCATCAACGTCATCAACAACAACGGAATATCGGGACAATATTGTTTAGTCGSAATCCAATTAAAAAATCCCATTTTCAGCAACTATATCAGTGCTTACCATCAAGTTAAAAATAATTTGACTGACGTAAGTTTTTCATGTGTTTTGAATCTTCCTTAATTTGGCGCGACGAGCAGTTTGTATGATTTGTTTTTGTTTTAGCCAGGTCATCGTTTACCAAAGTTTTCTACTGTATATTGGGGAGTTTGTGTACCGTCCTCTTGTGGTCCGAATGACGTAGCCTCTGCGGTGGAATCGACTGCTCAAAAGTTCCAAGACGTCGAAGTTCTCGTTGAAAATGATATGTGTCAGGTGAAACACATATCGAAAAATTCAACCGATTTTGACTGGGTACGGTTTTGGGTGGCAATTTTCAGTTTAAGTATGTTAATTTTTGGACAAGGAGCATTTACCACCCCYGATGAACTTGATCGTACGTAACATTATATTTTTAATCAGATAGGTTTGTTTAATTGTTCTGTGTATATTATAACAGCATAATATTGCGTTTTATATTTTCTATATAATATGATAGCTGATGTCGAACGAACTGCGCCCCTTGTGCTCCGATTTACATCTGTTCTAAGGAATTCGTTTGCGGTCAGGACAAACTTTAAATCTCTATTTATTTCCCCTGCTAGAGAAGGATTCAAGAGCATACAAGGCATTCGAGCTCTTAACATGTTCGCCCTACTTTTGTGTCACATGGTCATGGCCAAAATGTTTTTGCCATACCTAAACAAGACCGAAATGTCCGAAGTCAGTATATATATTGGATAACAATTCTACTTGACACGTTTTTATCAAATATCATAATTTTATTTTTATTTCATAGAATATGTCAAAACCGTGGCTCGTCACAGGAAGAGTGGCTTATTTATACACAGATTCTTTCTTGGTCATTAGTGGTTTGTTGGCAGCGTATACATTAAGTAAATTTTCACCAGTCAAGAGTTTTGTTTCACGTTATATACGGTTGGTATACTTGTTTTTGTCGTATTTTGTATATCACTAATAAATAAAATAATAGGATTATGTCCGCTCAGAAATACTTCGTTATAATTTAACTATATAGGTACTATATTTATAATAATTATTATATCTATATTTAATTTTAATAATAAATATAGCACAGTTTAAATTTTAAACATTTTAAATAATTAAATTGTAATAATAGTTACATTAAAAAAAATATTGTACATCAGTTATAAAAATATATTATCGTTAAGAATAAACTGTAAAAAATGCATAGGTTTAAAAAACATACATTTTTTATAATAATTAGGTAAATAATATTAATTTCATTTATACATTTTTAACATAAACTATATATAAATACATAATTGGTAATATGTTTAACCTGCCTAGATATTATTATTAGACTTAGTACAGGCTAGGTACATCATTTTTTTAAAAATGCACGAAAAATGATTAATGTAGAACGAATACTAAAAATTTAATTTTCATTATTTTATTATAATTTAATATTAAAGTAATTTTACAGTAAAAATGTTTGGTCTTAGATTGACTGCAACTTTAGTTACGGTAATGCTTATTTGCACTAAATACTTACCACAGATGAATTATGGGCCTATGTGGAATATGGTTATCACTCGACACTCTGATCTCTGTTACAAGAACTGGTGGAGAAATTTACTGTATATTCAAAATTTATTTGGTTTTAAAAATATGGTAAATATTATCACTACAACATTTTATAATGYTAAGATTCTGTTAAAATCTATTAAGTTTTTAATTTCAGTGTTTAACGCATACTCATCAACTTGCCATAGACTTCCAATTGTTCGTTATGGCTATCCCATTAATATATTTATTAAGAAAAAGTAAAGCTATTGCGTTGTTCGTTATTGCTGCAATCATGACTGGATCAACAATACTACGTTATAAATCAGTCATAAACAATAATTTGGCCACGGTTGTTTATTTTGGATCTGAGTATGCATCTAAATTCTAGTATGATTGACCCTTCAAACTGACAATGGTCTTATAATGATATAGTTTATGCTTTTGGGAAATTGATTTTAACTCCAAACAATAGACCACAACTTTGAATGCAAATTAAAAAAAAATACAAAACTAATTTTGTACATAAAAAATTTAAAAAAATTAACTTGTTGAAATTATAACTTTTTATTTTGACAGTATCCCTTTTATATTTTGTATAACAATGAGTATAATTTATTATAAATTTAGCATTAAAATAACCTCCTTATTTCAAAAATATATAATACAAATACTTTTTTTGACAAGTGACATATTTTCACCACCTGACATAAGCGGCAACGACTGCAAAATGATCGGGAAAACAACATTTTTCGTCACGTGCACGTATAATATATAAAATTGTGATTTTTCAAACAATAACTACGTAAAACGCCATTTTTCAATCCATTTTTTGAAATTCCGTAAATATTATTACTATATTAAATCATATCTTAATCACTGGCTCCTTTACGCTCAAATCTTAAGATTCATTGTGTACATACACGTGACACATTTAGTAAGACACACTTTAGTAGATTGTATAATTGATCATACAAGTCTACTTTGAAAAGTTAAGCTACAAAATGAATAATACTTACATTGATTTGGTAAAATAAATGTGTAATAGATAGAGAAATATTTTACAGACATCTCTTATTCTTAAATAATAGTTATAATTTATTCGACCTATCAGAAGCTTTAAATATAATAGACATTCCTGTTTTTATAAATGTTAGTATTGGTGTGTAAACATAAGACTGTTCTACTTAATAGTTAATACATAGGTACAATATTAATCATATTGTTTTTAAATGTACTAAAATGCTTATTTTATTTTTATTTTGGTAAAACAGCATTTCACAGTTGAATCGTACTTTTGACTTGACATACACTTTACCGACACACCGAGCAACCGTTTATCTAATGGGCTTTTTGGTTGGCTATTGGATGCAGCATCGCGGCCGTTTAAATATTTCCAGTGTGRGTGTATACTATATAAGACGTATATAAATATTCTGTAGACTGAACGACTTCCTCACATCATATTATAATAATCTGGCATTTCACTGTAATTGCAGGCACAAGTGAAAAAAGCATGGCTTGTAGCGACCGCTTGTGCACTGTTGGCGGTTTTTGGTCCTTATCAGCTGTCTAACATGAACTATATATACAACAATATTCACCTAGCGATTTTTAACGCACTCGCACCCATCCTTTGGTCGGTTTTCGTACTGTGGTGCGTCATTGCCACCGACAATGGTTACGGAGGTGAGTAACGATGCTATATACAAAGCATTAATGAAAGTTTAAAAAAAAAAAAACTTTTTTTTTTTTTAAAATAACCTAACGGAAAACTTCCATTACTCCCTTTCCTCAACAATGCTTTCTCCAATCCATGTGCTCGCCGATAGACTTWWTAAAACCTTAAAGTAATGTTTAAAATAATACTTTACACTTTATAGACACTTATGCAACTTAATATTATGTATATAGATACATTATTAGTTATAAATATTATGACTTTCAAAATATTGTATAAAAATTAATATTTACTGTAAATTGCATTGTTTTTATAGGTTGGTTTGGAAGACTATTGTGTTGTAGRCCGTTTACGGTGCTTTCAAAAATCTCATACGCCGTTTACCTAGTACAGTATCCTGTGTTCTTTTATTTCGTAGGATCAGCCAGAGGTCCAGTCTTACACACTACAGCAACGATGGTAATTAATTAATTCATTTTAATTAAATATTTAAATATTAACATATTATTATTATGTTAGATGATAGTATTTTTTTCATTTCCACTATTAAATATTTTACATATTATAAAAATTAGAAAATATTTTGATACTTTAAATGCGGTTTGTGGTTACTCTAAATTAAAGTCGATTTAAAATGTAAAGAACAAAATGCTTACGAAAAAACGACTAGAAACATTTTATCATGTAGTATTTATTAATCTATATTAATTTTTTTATAATTCTTTACTTATAAACTATAATTTTAATTGAATATTTCAATATGTGTATTATAATAGTTATTCTTACTATATTAGTAAATACATAATTAAAATATATAATGAAAAATAATTATTAACATAAACGTTTTCGGGCAGAGTTGCGTAAATAATATGAGAATTGTATGCGCTGCAACTTGCATCTACACATTTTTGTATACTTAAAGAAAATACTTTAAATATAGCGTGACGTAACTTCAAAATTCGAGACCGGATACAAAAAATTTCTACAAGCCACTCCCACTTTATATAGAGGATACTGTTGTTGAGTACAAATGTCTTACTATCTTAGGAATTAGGGGCTCGAAAGCTATACTAAATTGTTTGTGTGTATATGTATAGTGGGAGGGGCTTGCGTTGTTTTTTCATACCCGTTTTTTGAAGKTACGTCACACTGTATTTGAAGTTTTTTTTAAGTGCAARTATAAAAATGTGTAAAAGTAGATGCAAGTTGCAGCGCATACATTTTTCAAATTATTATTTATTTTATACATATTATTATGTTTTTAGTTCGACGTTGGTCAAATGATACTAATTGCTGTATTATCAGTGTTTTTGACGTTGGTCATCGACATCCCATTTCAAAAAATTGGTAAATATGTAACGGAATGTGGAGCAAACAACAAAATTAAATCATTATAAACTGTTCAATTATAATAATGTTTACATTTTTAATACTGCGTTGTTAATTATTATTCATACCGAAAATTCACTAGACATACCTACGGTTAGGTTAACTGTTCTATGGTAATATATAGGTATTTATATTTTTAAGCGTGATAATGTAACATATATTATACTGGTGTACATAAATATGTWCTTATTGAATTGATAAAGGAAGGTAAATAATCTTCATTTTTCAAAATCCGTTTAGTTGTGTTATTGAGAAGTTGACTCCTATTACCCTGCAAATGGTAACTATTGGTTTTAAATGTAAAAGTAATACATTAAAAATCAATTAGTGCAAAGAACTTTAATTGATTTTTATAAATTTCTTCCAGGTACACAATATTCAAATAAAAAAAAATGTTATTGTATAATGAATATAATATATTATATCTATTCTGTATATATGCTACAACTTATTTGTGTGAACAAACTTTGTAAAATGAATTACAACAAATCAAAATTTAGATAGGTCTTGTCTGAAATTTGAAGTAAAWTTTGAAATTTGGAGCCATAGTTATATAGAACCTCRATAAGTCAATTCGATAAAATATTAACAGAAAAACATAAATTCCATACTTCTCGTTAGTAAAAAATTGCTATAAAAATTAATACTACCTACGTATACTTAAGTATATTATATTATTAGAATTTAATAATAAATCAATAACATTATAAATTATATATGCATTCATATATTTCAGCCGCTGAGAGCTCTTGGTATTTTATGTGGCTCTCGAATAAAATAGTTTGGAAACCACTGAGATAATTTATTATTATATTATACGATCCGGCGATAGTTTAATAAATCGTCTCTACATACGAGTAAAGTCGTACGCAATAAAAGACTTATATWAATGACATGCTGAAAATTGAGATTTCCATCACTGCAATAAGCAGGATGTGACTTATTGGTAAAGTTATCGATATATACCATTATTGCATAAGTCGCTTACATGACCGAGCCTTTGCAGGTTACAGACGCGGAACATCAACAAAAAAAAAATTTAAAACGTTGCACGAAATGAAAAATTCAATGTATATTACAGGCCTTTTATTCTATAAACACTGCAGACGCAACAAAATAAGAGTCGTACGAATCGCTTGGTTCGTTTCCACATTATAAGCAGCGTTTGGGCTTAATCCCGATGGTTCGGGTGGGTCTCTCCCGCAGTCCCGCGTCACGCCAACARATTACAGACAAACTCGCGTGCTCTGCTGCCTGCACCTGCAGAGGTTATATAAATTCACCTACTCGYGTCGAAACGTACTCTTTCATGTCGACCAAAACATTGCGATGCTCGACACCTATATAGCTAGAACGGCGTCTCGGCGGATCCGCGAGATCGTGGCTTGAGAAGCTCGACCGACCRAAACCTGCAGCTTCAACAATACGGGCGGCGGTCGTCTCGATCTTGGCTTTGGTTGCGACGACCGCGAAACCGAGGTTTGCATCCAATCATCGGCAGGCGGCCGGTGATCAGGTTCCTGTATATCGAGGCGTCAGACGGAAACGCGTCACCCGCAGTAGTCGTTTCCACTGCGATGTATGGCATTGAACGGTATCGGCTGGTCACCGAACCCGCAAAATCACCGAGACTCACCAACACGATTTTGCAAGTCATCTAGCCATTTCTTCGATCGTCGATCACTCAGTGCATATCATTGACATAATATGTCAATGGTGCATATAGCGATCGATTCGGCGGACGGTAAGCGAATTTCGATTTTCGGACCATGTATTCTGTAATTGCAAATGCAGCAATATATTTGACATGATCATAGATATACACTGTCACTGTATTAATATTTTTTTTATTACGTATAAAAAAATGCATTATAACCTTTAGAATGTTATAATTTATTATATTGCGATGACAGAAAAAATAAAATATAATATAATGTTAAATAATTTTAAAAACAGCTATTGTCTCGAATAAAAATATATTAGTTTGTTAATTATTATTAWACATTTGAAACAAAATATTCTTTAAAGAAATTAACAAGATAGGAAAATTCACTAGGCGAGCATGCTAAATTCCAATTTCTTAACGTATATTGAATATTTTGATACAACCCATTGATATAATTCTATACGTATATATGCCTACAAAATTTTTAAAAGAATTTGATGGCCTTATAATGTTTTTGTATCTATTATTGTTTTTTTACTACTACCTTTAAATGTACTTGAATAGAACCGTAAAATAAAACTTAATAAGTAGGTATTATTTCAAATTCAATTTAATATTTTTTTGAATTTTCCAAAGGAAATATTTACGATATGATTCCAAACTTGCTCTAGATATATTACAATATCTACAATATCGTTAAGCGCCTTAAGCTATACATTTTGGCGTTAAAAACATTGTAAAACTGTCAGTTTGTACTGGTATGGTGATCGAAAATAGTTTTTAATGTAACAAATATGGATGGATGTATATTCAGGAACCCGGAGTTATCAATGTTATAATTTCTTGCTCGATACAGTCCTTTGTTATCTATAATTTATCACAGATGATTATATATCATACTAGACGAACAAAGTAATCAAATATCTATCGAATTCGTAGAAACACGTAGAAAAGTGAAAATCCAAAATCTACTTATCTAKTACAGGTACCTAGAATCACCTAAAATATCATGAATTAAAAAAAATAATTTTTTTTCATGAATTTACGTGTTAACATTTTTATTTTTCGTTGATTGGTTTGTAAGATACAGCTCCTCAAAGTGGATTTTCTGATGGATTTTACTATTTTTCTAATAATTGTAAACACCAGAAACTAGTGATAAATTCGATATCGCTGAATCCAAGGTAACAAAATAAATARCAATTAATTAAAGATTACTATTGTACTTTGAACCCTAATCATTTATAAACTTATCGACACATTGGATTTATTTTGTTATATATCAATAAATATAAGGATGAAAAAAATTAAAATACTATACGGTTTTAGAAAAACATAAACCTAAAAGTTAATAAATTTTGAGATAATTAGTGTACCGTACTTACCGTGTACCCACTTAAATGGATATATCGTATGTATTGGTCCAATAAGGATACCTGTATCTATACCACAAATGACAATGTTTAATTATACTAATTATACGGTTATTATTTCATTCTCATTRTTACTAATTTTTAACTATAATGCTAATTAGTAATTACCTACTCATACTGATTTTCCGTGCGTATTAATTGTAGGCACTAGGCAATGATGTTTTTATGTAGGTACTACACATTACACAAGCATAAAAAAAAATAACTTCTTGCATCGAGTCAAAAAAGTCGAGGTTAGKGATATAGTTCAAACAATACAATATGTATAAGCTTGATTTTATTTGTAATTTCTTCTGAAACCTTGCACAAATGAACAAATATATATATATATATATAAATATATGTATATGTTTTATACATAAAAGTTGTATAAAAGATAAAACACGAAATGACGCCATGACGACCATGTGTGTAAATAGATTGCAGCACACTAAAAACGATTTTGAGCGAAAGCTGTCTGTCAAAATTACATAGTAATTTAGGTATATTGTTATGTAATAATTTATTTGCCTATAAAAGAATTTAATTTTGTGAATATGTCATTGGTAATATAATAATAATCCACGTTTAAAGTTTCAAGTACGACATTATATTTTTGAACTACAATTTAATAATTAAAATCGTTTGTTCTTAAATTTAGAATAGTATTTAAAACTAATAAATATATTATTTCATAACAATTTTATATCATGACATTTCAATCTGTGTTTATTAGAATTAAAATTTTCATCAGTCATTAGTTCATTACCTTTGTTTTAGATTTATATATTAAAATACGTAAATACGTTATGCAATCTATAAAATAATTAATTAACCACAGGTATTATTTCAAATTTTATATTACTGCGAGTTATAGTTAATTATTTTTATAATAATATTGAAATATTACTTAATCAACATCTTAACCAAATAGTAAATACGATTATTGTAATATTAATCCYAAGAACTTCCTAGAGTACATTTAATTTACTGTAGTGCACACAACGAAAACTGGCCAGTAATCCCGTCACTCGCCCTCCATATATCGGTGGGCTGGCCACTGCGATATTATAAACTTATAAGTTACACATAGGTATAATATATTGAAATCATCCTCTAAATTATTTTGCTCACTAAATTTGAATGTTAATAAATATATATTACTATAAAATAAAACATATAACACCTATTTATAAGAATTAAGAAGTAAAAGAGGCGACTAATGCATTTGGCAGTAGATCATCGATCCATTTATAATAGGCGCTAAATGCATATAACGAACGGTTTCAATTAAGATTATAACGATAAAAGTGAACCACTCAGACAGTCCACATACCTCCTAACTCGWAAGTTAGTTGCGATCATCGTCGCTGAGCAGTCATATTGCCGAATAGCAAAAGACTACCAGCAGCCTCACGCTCCGGCATGCGGACAATGTCTCATCATCGCGGCCAATGACGACTCCAGATTTGCACCTGGAGGGGACGAAGCATACTACAGAAATGATCCTGTGAAGTATGATCTTAAATTGAAAACATGCCGTCGACCGGTACTTATGCARTGCGCGGTCCGATAAAACATGGCAGGCCCATGACTTTGGACCATTGCGTTTTCCCGTTACGTGCCGCGTAAGGTCTGCCGAATCGACGGGCCCGAAAATAAGAATCTATCATGTTTTTCCGGCATTGACTCGGTACCAGGAAAACATTTTGCTTATCCGGAAAACGTCGATGATCCTCGTCCTGTTTCACTATCTAAACGAACGTACTGCAACAGAGCCATCTACAGTCATCCGCTTGAAACTTCATTGACGAGCTGCCGAGTTCCGACGCGCAACGGTATAACGAGTTCACTTCGATAGATCTCGCTGCTGTTACATAAAACTATACGTCCACGACATGGCGTTGGAACCATTATACTTTATTATATTTATTTATAAGCAGCATGTGGCATGTCAACACCTTAGATTCATATAATTACCAGTTACCTTTATAGTATAAACACGTTATATTTAAATACTGACTTACTGTTGTTATTGATTTTATCTATATTTTGATAATTTATGTTATGTTTATGAATATATATATATA